ACACACACACACACACACACACACACACACAGCTGCAGCCAGTGGTAAGTCATAAATGGATCACTCTGGGTTAGGATGCTGGTTAGTCCCAATTCAGCCCAGTTATTCCGCTCCCCAAGGCTGGGGACCAGGAAAACTCAAAGCTTCTTTTACCAGGGGCTTATTACTCACTCCCCCTCTCCCCATCCACACACACACACACACACACACGCACGCACACGCACACACACAGTTTGCACCGTCTCCAAAGTTTGGGTTGGGGCTTAGGGGTTGTTAACGGTTCTCCCTTTTTTCTTTCAGGCGGGCCCTAGGTTGGGTCCTTCTTAAGAAAGTTGCGATCCGAAATTAAAACCTTTGTCCCTCAAGGTAAAGGGAGAAATATGGGAGGGGGGAGGGAAGAGGACAATCGACCTGGTGATGGACAAAAACACCAATCTTCGTGAGTAGGTAAGAAAATGAAGAATACTGTATTTGATTTAGAAAGTTTTTACATATAGATAAACACGCAGTTAAGGAAACAGTATAAGCGCCCTACGGGGAGTTGAGAGAAAACCCCCAAAGCAGCTAAGAAATACTCAAAATAGCTTTTGCATAAGAATACTACAGTCTCACTCTCCGATTTCGCTGATGCTGGGGTCCCTTTCTCTAACCTAGCCGCTCAGACCAGAACAGCTAAGTCTAAGGAACGCCAAATCTTGGAAAATTTGAAAAAAAAAAAAAAGGAAAAAAGAAAGATAAGGGGCAGGTGTTGAAGGGTTAGGGAGGTGGGAGAGAGAGAGAGACGGAGAGAGAGGATACAGAATGGCAAAAAGGGAGAAGAGAAAAAAGCAATAGCATATACAGGCAATTTCTACACATATATTACAAACTGGGAAAAATGACCGCATCATTAAGATATACATAATTCATATAAAATTTTGAAATAAAAATAAAAATCTTTTACAGTCATAACTATCCTTTTTCCACATTTATAACCAGTACCCACACAGGCAGTGACAGGAGTGTAGAAAAAAAGGTGCTTACGAATAAAATGATTGTCTGCTGAACAAAAAAACAGAAGATTGCATCTTGGCTGACCATTACTTGGACTTAAAAACGGAGAGGGAGGGGGGAGAGAGGAGAGGAGAGGAGAGGAGAGAGAGAGAGAGAGAGAGAGAGAGAGAGAGAGAGAGAGAGAGAGAGAGAGAGAGAGCAAAAAAAAAAGGCGAGAAACATTTGCTATTTCCCTCTTCGCAAGGAGTTCTCTTTTTTTTTCTTTTTTGTACAAATTCAGAACGGAGATGGCGTTGGTGGGTTCGTTTTTTTGTTGTAGTTGTTGCTGTTTTTGTCATTTTTGGTCTTTGTCGCCCGTTGTTGCCTCGGTGGTGATTGTGTGTTCGATTCTTTTTAAATCTTTTTAAGCTATAGAGAATATTTTCCCAGATACAAATAAACCGTCATGCAGGTGGGGTGCCTCGTCCATGGGAAGCGAAAGGAGAAGTCGTGCTTGTCCTAGAAAGTATACAATTGTCACCTCTTTTAATTGTTCCCCCCGCAACATCAGCATTTGTGAATGTCTGTTGGCGTCCGGGTCCGTTGTGTGGCGGTGGTGGCTGAAGGTGGTTGGGGTTTGTTGACAGTTTTTGATTAGTTTCTAATGTTTCTTGCTTTTTTAAATTTTGGCTTTGTGTGTGCGTGTGTGGTTGTGTGTATGTGTGTGTATGTGTGTCCTGATTTGGGTTTGCTCTAGGGTGGGAGAGATAGGAGTTGGGGGAGGGGAAGGAAAAGGAGGAAGAGGAGGAGGGAGAGGTGGAGGAGGACCGTCTTTCCGCTATCATACATCACATTCCGAGTCGCTGGAGGTTACCGAGAGGATGGAGGTGCCGGTGTCCGCTCGTTCTGTCAGGCTGGACACACTGGTTGTGGGACTGGCCGCCGTGGATGGCGACTCTGCCGAGCCGTGCGTCGGACAGCCAGGCTCAGCCAGCGAGCGCATGCCGCTCTGTCCGATCGACTGATGCTGCAGCCTGCGGGGCAAAAAAGACAACACGGAGCGAGGCTCCCCTGACATAGCCAGCCTGACCGGCAGACAGACAGTCCTCTCCTTTGCTCTCCCACCTCTAGGACTGACCAACAGTCTCATAGTCCCGGTGTCCCCCAGCCCAAATCATAGCATTCTAAAGATGTCCCCTGGGACTCCTGAATCCCCCAGATAAACATACCCGGAGACCTGGGATCGCCTGCAACCTCCCACCCGCTACTTGGGCTGCAGTCACACTGATATTCACAAACCCACAAGCACAGACTCAGGTCTTTTGATACCCATATGTGCAGGCAAATACCACTGCGACTCAACCCGAGCCCCCTTTCTCCTTCCCACTCATTTTCTATGAAACAGCTCTACTCTCCATTGCCCCACAGCCTCTAAGCCACTTCACCCTCCAATCTGGCCTGGGCTTGTTTTAAACCCCCAACTCAAAATTGGAGAAGAGTTGGGGCCCTGTAGTTGGCTAAACTCATTTGAGCCCCCAGGTCACCGGCTTCCCCAAAAGCCGAGAGCGATGCTACTCCTTCTGTTTTGGGGGCCTTCTATCTTCTTCCTCTCTTCTTTCTCTTCACTTTGACGATTTTTTCTTTCTCTTTGATTCTTTCATACTTCCCTTTGCCTCTTCCCTCATTTTTCTTGTTTCTCCTTGGCTCTCCCTTCTCCATTTCACTTCTCCCCCCCTTCCCCTGTATTCCATCTGTTCAGTCTTCGGCGCTCCTTAGTGTGTTCTCTCTCCCGTCTTTCCTCCTATCAGTACTCTCCTCCCTGCCCCTCAGACTATGTCCTGTGGGCGCCCCGACCTCACTAGAGGTTTTCCTGTTGTCACCAAGAACTTGGGGAAACCAGGACAGGAGAAGAGAAAAGAGATTAGAAGAAAGGAGAGAGGATTGGGGCCAGGCCTAGACAGAAAGGAACGAACCCGAGGTCCTGCGGCTCAGGAAGGCCTACGATCAAGCTGGCTTCGGGGGAAGGGGTAGGAATAGGAAGTGTTTATCTTGACCCACTGGATACAATGAAAAGTAGAGGAAAAAAAGAGACCCCAGTTTCTCGGCTGGCACCCCACCATTCTCTTAGTCTGTTCTCAGTGCTGCAGCTAGCTCCAGTTGGGTAGGTTGACAGAGAAGACAAGATACGGCCTTGTTTCCAAGACCCCTTCCAAGGCCATTTTGAAACTGGGCATTAGTGGGTTTTATGTGGGATACTGGAAGCATTTTTTAAAAATTTTATAACAAACTAAATGAAGAAGACAGGCAGAGATGGAAGAAGGAAAAAGAAAGTAGAAGGGGAAGAGAGAAGAGGTAATAAAGGAAAGAAGTTAAGTAGAGGAGTGCTGACGACCTTCATATAAACATCCTTTTCTCTTCCGAGAGCTAGGTCTCAGTCCTATGCTGAGGCAAAGAGGTTAGGAGAGAAGAAGGCCTGGACACCGCTTGGAGTCTTCCCCTCCTCGGGGGAAAAGCAGGCTCCACAAGAGAGAACTTGGCGGATTTAAGACTAAAAAACCAGCTACTAGATTCCAGGACTCAAGCAAAAACCCACATAGTTTTATCAACCCCACTGTCAGCAGCACAGGACTAGTTACTAGTACTATCACAGCAGGTTTGGATCTGAGGACTGGTTGGAGTCCTAGAAAAACTAGAAAAGGTTCTGCCTTGGAATTTAAATTTTCTTCCTTCCTTCCTTTATTTCTTTTTCTTTCCTTCTTTCCTTTCTCTTCTCTTTTTCCTTCCTTCCACTGTTTTTTTTTTTTCCTCTCTCCCTCCATTTCTTGCAGGCCTGCAACCTCAGCTAACATAGTCAAGCTCTCAAACAACTTTATATCTAACTGGCCTGTGGGATAGGGGAATGACCACCCTCCTAGCTCATAGTGACCTCAACTTTCCAAATTGGAAAGATTCACCGAACCCCCATGAACCAGCCCAGTTCAAGATGAAAGTAGACACACATCACTATACACGTTACCCTCTCCAACACTCATATCTATGATATAATAGACAATCGGAGAGGCCGTTTTTGTCATGTCTGTTTCTACCCGGCTCCCTCTCACCCCTGTCAACACAGTAAGTAGGTCAGGAATTTGAAATAGCAGAAGCTTCTGCATGAATATTCTGTCCTCTCTTTGTATTAATTAGAATTCTTTCCTTTCCAGTCTCCAAAGATATTTATACACAAAATATGTATGTGTGTATATACACATACGTATTTATGCATCCATACTATACATACACATATACATAAGCATATTTTCTTAGGATTACTATTACAAGGTTCGAATGGATAGAATTTTTTTCTTGGACAGCCGAGAACTGAGATAAAGAATTCTCTGTGCTCTCCATCGTTTTTCCACTGAGCAGAGAGCCATGAACTAGAGACAGGAGAGTGCGAGAAAAAGGCGTAGGCACGGAGCTCTGCTTCTGGTGTTCTGTGGCCGCTCGGAGCACCAACCCGGTCCCGCTTTAGACAATTCTTGGGCATGGGGGGCGGGAGAGAGAGCCGGGGACTTCGGAGCAAGGCCTGGGTGGCCGGCTCCCCAAGGCACCTCACACTTACCAAGAAGGCACACAGCAAGAGCCGGAGGGCTGGTTACCTGCTCCCAGACCCCCCACCTCCATCCCAGGACAAATAAGTTAATAAGACTAGCTCCCCTTCCCCGCGCCCTGCGGGCGGTGCAAACTTTCCCAGATTGGCCCCGGGCTCGCCTCCTTTCCTCCCTGTCTCTACTCCCAGCCCTCCCAGGGTTGGTCCCCTTCCGCAGGCCCGATGCCTCCAGCCAGGGAGACTGGAAAGTTGGGAACGGCCCGGGGCTGGGGGCTGGGGGCTGGCGGGGGCCTGGCACTGACCTGTTCTTGGCCGCAGCCGCCCGGTCGCGCTGCCGCCGATTCTTAAACCAGTTGCCTACTTGTGTGGGGGTGAGGCCCGTGGCCTGAGCCAGTTCGCGTTTCTTGCTGGGGTTGGGATAGGGGTCCTGAAGGTACCACTCCCTGAGCAGGCTCCGAGTCCGCTCCTTGAAGCAATGAGTCTTCTGCTCGCCGTCCCAGATGGTCCGGGGCAACGGGAACTTCTTCCTCACTCGGTACTTGTCCACTGGGCCGAGAGGGCGGCCGCGTAGCTTCTCCGCCTCCTGGTAGTGCGCCTCCAGCCACATGGCTTGCAGCTTGCCGTGCGACTCTTTGGTGAACTTGTGGTTCTCCAGGATGTGGTAGAGGTCGCGAAAGTTGCCCGTGTGGAAGGCGACCACGGCTCGGGCGCGCAGGATGGACTCGTGCTTGTTGATGGCCTCGCACGCCCCCGGGGCCACGGGCAAGGACCAGAGGAAGCGTCCCAGCCGCTCGATGTCCCCAGTCTCCTCCAGCGTCTCGCAGACGCTGGCCACCTGCTCCGGAGAGAAGTTGAGGGTGGGCAGCTGGAACATGGACAACTCTTCCGGGGGGGCCCTGGAGCCGCCGCCGCTGCCGCCGCCTCCTCCGCCACCGCCGCCGCCTCCTCCCGCGCCGCCTCCTCCCGCGCCGCCGCCGCCTCCTCCCGCACTGCTCCCGCCGCCGCCGCCGCCGCTGCTACTAGCCAGAAGTAGGGAGCGGTGGTGAGGATCCGCGAAGTTTGGCAAGAAGAAGTGGGAGGGATAGAGCTCTAGAGGGGAGCGGAATACCATGGAATGACCTGAGAGGAGAGGAGAAAATTCAGGGAAAGGAAGAGAGAGGAGAGGAAGAGGAGGAGGAGGAGGAGAGGGGGGAGGAGGAGAGGGAGGAGGAGGAAAAGAGAGAGAGGAGGGAGAGGAGAGGGGAGGAGGAGGAGGAAGAGGAGGAGGAGGAAGACAGGAGTAAAGGACACCCACACCCCACACACATACACATACACACACACCCGCACAGCCACATAGAGAGAGGGGAAGGAGAGTGGCTGGGCGCGCGCGCGCGCTCACACACACACGCACGCGCGCGCGCGCGTGCACAGAGAGAGAGAGAGAGAGAGAGAGAGAGAGAGAGAGAGAGAGAGAGAGAGAGAGCCAACCACCACCGAGTCAAGATTCAGCGATTCAACAGCAATCGCCCTAATGACAACAGCCTCATAATATCTCCCCTAAATCCACAGTGAGTGCAGCATTGAAACATTTTGTTTCGCTTTTCTATTGGTCTTCTGAGTGTCGTTGTGGCGTTGCCACGGCAACCCCTGCCAATCACTGTCAGCACTGCCAATCAATAATGAGTACGTAAGGAAGGTTTTTACCACTTAGCCCAAATGCGCAGGGGGGGAGGAGGAGGAGAAAGAGGAGGGGGAGGGGAGGGGGAGAGGGAGAAAGGGAGGGAGTACTTGGGGAGAAAGAATTTTTTTTAATCTTTGCAACTCTTAATCTCGCCACTTCCCCCCTCTCTCTCCATTTACCCCCTCTTCCCTCTCTGTCTTCCTCCCCCTCCCCTAAATAAGGGTTCAAATAATGTGAAAGGCAGTGTGCTCGTATTTGTTGAATGGGATGAGCAATTAGAGGGTGGAATATTATTGTGATTTTTTTTTTTTTAACGAGCCTCGTTAAAACTAAAGATCTGGGGGATAAGGGACTTGGCCTGGCCTAGAATCTGCACCCGTTCGTACTCCGAACTGAGACAATTTGCACATGATTTGCACGTAGGTCCCTCTTCATTCTGCCTATCTGAGCACTAATAGTGCCGGCGAAGAAAGGAAAGATGAGATCATGAGACTCATCGCGCCGGTGACCCCGTCAGGCGCCTCAGCCCAGAGAAGCGGAGAGGGCATTTCCCCCGCTCCTCCCCTCCTCCGAGGCCCCGGCTGCGGGTTTCAGAGCCCGGCCGAGCTGGGGAAGTAGGGCATCTCCTTGTAGCCTCTGCCTATTTCTAACTCGAGGGTGCCAGGACTGAGCTCCCAGACATAAATTCTCTAGGGATATAGTCCTATTTACCCTTGCCCCCACCCCCCCGTGTAAACATCTATTGCCTCCATCACCAATCACCCACCATTTAAAAATAACAGTAAGTAAAATAATCAGGCATAAGAACAATATTCCACTACTCTACATTTTAGAACATTTACTTAGCTTTGTTTTCCCCCATACCTCGGCCACCTCTCCAAAGGGTATCTCGGAGTTCAGGGAAGCCAGGATCCTCAACTTACCCAGACCCTGGGCATCTTTCAGAACCCTCTTTAGCCCTCCAAAGCAGGGGTTGAGAAACACGAAAAATCAAAGGCCTGCACATTTTTCATTTCATTTCATTTATGGGAAAAAACAAAACCTCAATCATATTTTTTAAAAAAATAACACTACTAACTGCAAACCAAGCTAAAAAACTTCCCAGACAATCGAGAGGCGGGGGACTAAACCTTTTCCAGCCCACCTCCCGCGATGGCTGGCTGGTCGCAGCGCTAACTCCGGCTCCCGCTCTGGGGCAAGAATATTTATTCTTAGGTAGGTTGCTTTTAAGAAGATTTAATCAGCATCTTGAGCCAGGCCTTGCTTTGTGGGGTTTCTGTGGCCGTGGAAGTGTGATTTACCGAGATTTGTCCGGGTCAGAGGCTGCCTTCCCCCCGCTCTGTGTATATTTAGACAGGACTTGGTTTGGTGTTAAAAAGTGTATATTTTGAATAGGTTCACACAGTTGCAAACAATACCGACATTGTCGGCCCCATGTACAACGCGTATTGAAACGCAGCTTCCAGACTTCAACTAATCTGCCCTCAATAAAGCTGAAATAATTATCCTAAGCCGCCTTTCCAGAAGAAAAATCATTGAGGAATTCAAAACTTTTTTTTTTAAAGATCTTTTCTGCATTCCGATGCAGATCTGGGGGTGAGGCGTAGAGTCCACAGTACTTTGGAGACATCAATGGTGGTGGTGGGGGGAAGATTACAATTAAAATGGGAAAACATAACGTGACTTGGCCTGCGGAGCTACTAACCCTCCTAATCCTGGATCTTGGGGGTACTGGGGACCCTGGATTGCCAGTCCTCCCCCAGGATCTTCTTGCGGTGGACAGCCCGAGACCTCCAAGGCCCTTGCTGCCGCAGGCTCTCAATCCCCCTAAAGCCTTCAGGGTGTATAGTTTGAAGGATGGAAGCACCTCCATACCTAACCGCACCCCGAAGAGGCTAGAGAAGCGGGGAACTCCCAACCACTCATTTGGCCTCCGAAAGGTTAATAACAAAGACAAAAGGGGAAAATAGATGGGAAAACCCTACTTTGTTGACATTTTTTTTTCTTTCCCTGCTTCTCTCCCCCCCCCCCCCCCCCCCATTGATTTCTGTTTCCGCTCGGCTGGGGAGACCCAGGACTGCTGACAACGGTCAGCGAGTCCCTAGAAGGAACCCAAAGGTTGGGACACAAAAAAGAAAAATCTTTTCTTTGTAATCCCTTTTTCTTTTAGGGGAAGGATTATAGGCTGGGGGTGGGGAGAGGGGAGAAGGGAGGCTGGAGAAGGAAGTGGGGAGGGAGGAAGAAAAGGGGAGGGGAGTATGTTGGGGGGGTTCGATGTGGGAGGGAGAATTCCTGAGGGTGGGTTTCCTAATATTTTATTCAACTTTTTGAAAGCTGTTCGTGACCCCAAAACTGCATCCCACTCAGCATGGGACCCAAGTGCTGGGCTGTGGATTGAACCTGGTTTGATCAGTTCCAACTCTGTCCCCCTCCCAGGAACCTCAGGCCGGAAAGGGGGCGTCTCCCCTCCCCTCCCTCCAAGCTATCGCCTCCGGCGCCCCTACATGCTCGGAAGATTTTTCAAACTCATTCATTTGTAAAGTACAATAAAATCGAAAATCTCCAAGAAGCTTGATAAAAAGCCGCCTAATCACCGCGCAGCAGCACCTAGACGCACGCCGGGGCTCCCGGGAGCCCACCCTGCTGGCTCTCTCTCGGAGAAGAGCGAGCGGGAAGTTGGGCTCAGTCTTTTTCGTGCCCCCACCCAGGGCCTTGGCGCCTGGCGCTCTAAGCCTGTTAGGGACAGAATTCCTGTCCTTAAATATACAAGCAGATAATTGTTGGCGCGCTAGCTTTGTGTGTGGAGGCTGGGGGTGTAAATGGCTTTTAATGACTGCAGCTGTGGGTTGCGAACTGTCAGTGCAAGTGGGTTAGTGCGGAGCCCCAGAGTCAGGCGGGGAGCTGGGCGCTGAGCCGCACGGAGTCTTCCCCTCGCCACCACAGTTCCTCATCAACAGAGCTCGGAGCTCCCGGCGTAGCCCGACTACCTAGGCTAGAGAGCCAGGACCAGGGCCCTAGGTCCAGGGCTAGGACCAGAATCAAAACGCCGGCCGGCAAAACACAGAACCCCGAGAGAGAAGAGAAAAAGAAATTACGTAGAGCCCCCAAGCTGTTTTTCACGGTCCTCAGCCGTTGCCGGCGGCCCTTCTCGCCTAGAAGATCCGTCTTGGAACCCGTAAGTTTAGGACCCCAGGGATTTGGGAGGGCAGAGGCTGGGCTGGGTCCGATAGCTTCGGGATTCCGCGGAGATGTGCGTGGGAGGGGGTTAGATAGTTTGGAACCTGTACACTGGGCTCGGGGGGGACAAGGGGGCACTGTGAGCCTGGGGGCACGCAGCCTATTGGAGGGAGCAACTAGGTGTAGGGGGCAAGGAGTGTAGGGGTCAGAGCCTAGGAGGTACCTCTTCCTCGCACACACTTTTTTTTTCCTGTCCTCCTCCCTCCCCAACCCTCCCTCCACATCCAGGCTCTGGGATTGTAGTTTCGGAGGCAAAGAGCAGTGGCAAAGTTGGCTCTGTGTCCTTGTGCATATCTTCTTACCCCGGCCAGGAGTCTAGGCTTCAGCTGATGGGGTCTAACCCAGCGCTGAGACAAGGTGGGGCAGGGAGCTATTGGAAAGGGAAGCTTCTTAGATAGGGGAAGAATCCGAGAAGAGAACAAGGGCCCAGAAAAGGAGAGGAGAGCCGGCACCAACCATCACCACCTGGTATCATCCACCTCCGGCCACCGAAAAGGGTGGGAGGACTAGAGAAGCTGGAGCCAGATCCTGGACGCCTTTAGCCCCACTAGGGGCCTCTCTCTCAGCGCTCCAGTCCCCCGCAGGGCCGACTCAGGTTCTGAAAGGCCTTGGTCTAAGGCCTGCTCTGTGGCTAGAGTAGGGCCCATCTCTGGGCCACCTTTTTCTGGGACATGACAGATATACCCGGGTAGGAGTCTTGGCCCAACCCATCCAGGGGAGGAAGAGCTCAGAGACAGCTGGGAGAGAGAACAGAAGAGAGTAATAAGGGAGGGCATTTTTGGAAGTATTTGGCCCCAGGTGCACTATTTTGCCAGGATCAGACCATTTATTTTTAGGTAATAGTCTCTCTCTCCATACACATACACACACACACACACACACACACTTTTCCCATCACCTTGCTTTCCATCCACAGCTCCTCTCAGGAAACCCATATCACAGGAATAACTTCAATTCCTTTAGTATAGATTATTCGCTCCGGTCCCTAACTGCCAGCTTTATGGGTCATTAGGCAAGGAAAGGGAGTCCGAAATCTTTGGACAATCGTACAGAAGGAAAGGCAAGCCTGGTTCTCCCATTCTCTCACCAGGCCGCCAAACAGTTTACCACCCAGCCTGGCTCCGACTGGGTGGGGAAATCCTTGGGCCAGGCAGCTCTCCGCTTCCTCACTCTCACTCCTATCCCCAACCCTCGCCCTCTTCTCCAGTCAG